GAGGAAATCTTTTTTGGACCGACTTTAATTGAGGCGATCATCATGCCTTCCGGTGTGGTCGGCTGCCCTGTAAAGCTAGTCATCTCAAAATCCACAAGAGATAGATCGTGAATTCCCTTTCCTAACTTCTTGAGAGTCTTTAATGACATTACATTGAAGACGGCCCCATTATCTATGAAAACCTTTATGATTGGTTTCCCACAAATATGAGCATTAACGTACAGAGGCTTCAAATGAGATGCCGTGCTTTCTGGAATGGGAGGGAAGACTATTGGAGGGACCTCTGATTGAAAATCAGGATCCAAAATCTTTGCCTATTCTGGCTCTTCTATAAACCCATCCGCTAGACTTGCCCACAAAGGCTCTTCCTCAACCCAATTAATTTATGTCATTCGGCAGGGGATACGTGGCCCTAGTCGAGATTTGACGGACCTTAAAATGGTTTCTGGAATTTCATCTTTGGTTTCAATTTTAGGTTGAATCGTCAGAGATTCCAAATGAAATTCCTCCAGTGATGGGTTAATGTTAACCTTCCGCAGTGTTGACATCGGAAACCTTTAACATTCTTTTGCATGGACCGACCTCCTTCTGCCTCATTCGGCTGTTCAAACGAGACAACCCTGATAGACCGACCTCCTTCAGTATACTTAGCAGTACCTCGGGTGTCGTTCGGTTGCTTTGATAAGGCAACCCATAAGTACCGACCTCCTTCCGGAGAATTATCAGCGCCTTGCACATTTGGTTGCCTCGAGGAAGCGCTCTTGTTCCTGTATCTCACAGCATATCTGCGCTTGGCATTCTGAATCTGAATACGATTCATGCCTGGGAAGCGAGGGTCCACATCAATTGGTAAAGGTTTCTTATTTCGAGTCCATTTGCTTCCGACCGAACTCGTTCTCTTAGTCGGGTCGTCTCGAACCAAAACTTGCTCCTTCAATTCCACATTAAAAGAACCATCTTGGTTATCCCATTTTTCAGCCACTGTTTTTTCACAGACCTTGAGTTTCTCCTCTGGTCGGCCACTGTTTGATAAATTCGCTTTTTCTGATCTGGAACTTGCTTGTATATTAACTATTGTTGTGGTTACTTTTGGAAATGGTTGTTGCTCCACTCCCAAAGTAATATATTTGAGCTTATCTGCCTTAATAGCCTTTTGGATCTCATTTTGAAAAGTGCATTGACTTGTATTATGTGTGAAAGAGTTACGCCACTTACAGTATGGTCTCCCTTTGATTTCTTCCTTAGTAGCCAACCTCTGCCCTTTGGAATTCGGATCTGACCATCAGTTAGCAGAATATCAAATATCTCATCGGCCTTTGAATTGTCAAAGGTCGGTTGCCCTTTAGCTTCAGTTCCTGGTGCTGGCTTTAACTTAGAGCATACATAAGGCTTCCCTGAAATTATTTCGGCCGCCATCTCTTCTGTCTGATCAAATCAAAGTCGTATGCCTCTGTTTCCATACTACCCATATGTTGACCTTTATTACGCCTGAAATTCTGATCCCTTTCCCTGAAAAGAGATTCTAAACGTCCAGCCTTGGATGCGAGACTTGCCAAATCCTCGACATCATATACAGTGAGCGCATATCTCAAGCGACCATGCATATTTCGGACCACTAAGTTGGTCATCTCTTTTTCATTGATTATTGTAGGACATCGTCCTTTCATCAATCGCACCCTTTCAATAAACTGTGAAGCTGATTCTTCTGGATATTGTTTCATTTCCAATAAATCAGTCAAAGAAACCGTTGGGAGGGGATTGAAAAATCTGGCATGAAATGCCATCTCTAAACCTTCCCAAGTTTGTATTTGCCCAAATGGCAGACTTACAAACCATGAAAAAGCTGTCCTAGTTAGAGACAATCCAACCAGTTGTAATTTGTAGAAATGATTGTTACCAATTTCCCCTAACTGTGCTGTGAAACGCCCCACATGCTCTATAGTAGAGAATCCATCCTCTCCAGAAAAAGCATGAAAATCGGGTGGCCTGTAATTCCTTGGGAGAGGATATTCATTAATAATCCTTTCTGGAAAAGGTCTTTGATAAGCAGGTCGGTTGGCCATCTGAGGATTTAGACCAAACTGAACCCTCAATACGTGAGAAATTTTGTCACCCAAACGAAAATGTTGATGATCAGGAATATCAATGGGATTTTGCACAGGAATAAGAATAGGATCCTGCACATATCCCCCTGGCCTTTCCTTCCTTGTATTGTTCGGCTGCACATTCTCAACCCTTGGCCCCAAAGGAATATTATTTGGGAAAGTCAGAGGAGTCTTTCCCCTATCTGTTCGGTTGAAATTTGTGGCACTTGGAAATATACTATCAACATATGATGGCCCTGCAAAATTTGCTTGCATTCTTGATGGTGACACCCCTGGCGGCGTCTGAGTGGGTTGAAGCGTAACCCTTGATAATGCTTGATCTAACATGTTCTGCATAAAGATTTTATTGCTCGCGCAACATGTTTTGCATAGCCGAAGTTTGCTGATTGTTCAATTGTTGAACATAAGACAACCAATCGGTAGGTGGTTAGGGAATCTCACCTGAATTCGGCATGACATGTGGTGAAATATTTTCTCCCACCGGTGCTGATGATGATTGAGGTTGTGAGCCTGCCATATCGATCTTTCTGATGATTCGGCCAGACCTCAGTCGTATGAAATTTTATGATGATGTAGGATCAGCAATCTTGTGTTTCTCCCACTGTGGTTGCCAATTTGTTGATGGTATTTTTTTTCACCAAAAAAAAATTAAAATCCGAAAATAGGAAATTATCTTCGAACTTGATTAATTAGTGCGTGAGATTAAGAATCTCTAAACACTATACGGTACAGAAAATTAACTGGAAATTAAAATGCTGAAAATTTAAATGATGATCCTCGAATCTCTTGACATTGATGTCAATTGAAGATGATTGAAGATCCTCTGCCAGTTGCTGACCCCAATCCTTAAATACTCTTCAAAGACGGTACTGGAAACCGTCGCCCGAACGGTTACAACGCCTCTTTTTCAACCGTCTGCTAACCCTTCTTCTGCTGACACGTGCCCTTAGCCGACCGAATTATCACTCTTACTCACTTTCAACAGTATCCGACCTCCATACCAACCGATCTGCCTATCCAACCACGAATCGGCCGACTTTTTGGACCGACCGCAGACCTTCAGCCTTTTTGGCCCAAACGCAGCTCTTCCGCCTTGTAGGTCCGACCGCAAACCTTCCGTCGTTTTTGGACCAACCGCAATCCTTCCGCCTTGTTGGTCCGACTGCAAACCTTCCGACTTACAAACCATCCGACTTGTTGGTCTAGCCGCAAACCTCCCGACTTATAGACCATCTGACTTGCGGTCCTTCCGACCTGCGGACCTTTCGCCCTGCGGAGTTTCCGACCTGCGGACCTTCCGACCTGTGGACCTTTCGACCTCCCGACCTTCCGACCTGCGGACCTTCCGACCTGCGGACCTTCCGACCTACGGACCTTCCGACCCGCAATTTCCTTAGAAATACGTCTATTTAACCCAATTTTCTCGAAACACTCCCTGATCGATCTAAAAGGCTCAATTATAGGCCTATCTCTCTTTCTGACTTGGGCTTTTTAACCTAATCATAATTTTCATACGTAACACCTTGAAAAAATCCATATATTGTGCTATAAATACACTAAATATATCACACAAGGGAAACGCTAGACTGGTCAGTTGTGGCGTCATCTTAGCTCATGGGATTACTCTAAGCCCATGGAGTCATAAGTGACGGAACCAGAACCCAAGTCTCAAACTTCTCCGGACAAAAGTCAAGTACTCCCAAGGACCATGATGAAGAAAAAAGAAAATTGAAGAAGGGGATGTGTTTTTAGAGATAGATGGATAAGTGAATAATTAACTGATTGTGGAAAAACTGAGAGGTGCAGGTACAAACACACATGTATATTGTAAGGTTAGTTTTTACCAATGGCTCAGATTTAATACCTAGGTCGAATGGTGTGGTTTGCCAGGATTGTTAGGAGTGAGCCGAGATGCAAGAATTAATTGGTGTTGGATTTGAGGTTTCGATTATCATGGGCCCAAATTTATAACAGATATGTATACGAGCAAAATTATATAAATATATATCGAAAAATCATATTTTTTTCAACAATTATATAAACCCATGCTTTGAATCATCTATTATTCAATGTATGCTTCCTTCCCTATTATAACAATGATCTGAGCGTTAGATATTTCATACTGGATAAAAAGAGTAAATTCTAATTGTCAATCATTACAAAGAGTTCTCAAATCTAATTGCACCTTGAAATCAAATTTCCAAAACTATATACTGATAGAGAAGCAGAGAATTTGTCACAACCTTAAAAAAAATGTAAAAACCTAAAAAATATTTGTTTCAACATAAATTTGAGAAAACAGATGCAAGCAAAAACATGAACTGAAAGGAAGTAAAAGTAATTAAAGGAGGAAAGGAAGCAACCTTGATGGACATAGTTTAAAATTGAAGAAACACAAGGGAACTGATAAAAGAAGTGATGATGACCATGGTGAACGTAGACCAACACCGGTGAAAACCCCTGATTTCCCAACATCATAAAAAACCATGCAAATCAAGATATATTTAGCTGAAACGATGTCTTCAGAGAACAGAGTGCTTTTCCAAAAACTAGATGAAACTTGGTTTTGTAAATAGTTTTTAGATTGAAAAAATATTAATTATGAAATAAATGACATCCAACATCGTCTTTTATATGTAAACTCCCCCACCCTATTTTTCGTAGTGTTTCAAATTGATGACCATGGTTAGAATTTTAACCATATTTAGTAGTCTACCAGACATGCTTGGAAATGTAATTGGAAAATGCCAACACATTTCAGTCACTAAAATTTTGGTTAGCTGATTTCGATTTTCTTTCAAATTTTTGCATTACATAACAATTCTGTTACCAAATCAAAGCAATGGAATAAACCAACAATTATATTGTGGGGAGTGAGGAACGGCTAGACTCTGAGTGTCATTTATTGACAAGTATTCTGGTGTACAGAGGGTGGCGAGTATTACGATGACACGCCATGATCACAAAGGATCCAATGCATAAAGCAACACATGAATAAACTCTAGGAAAGTCACCGTGTTGTCAAGGGAACACTTACATATCACCTCAAGTGATTATTAAACTAGCTAAAAAGCTGTAAATCAAGACAATAGCTCAAATGCTGTAAATCAGAACAATACAACCTAAACAATGATTATCCAAGGGCATAAAGCATCAATGGTGCTTTCGAAATACCTCGTACATCAGTTATCTGTTGTGAACCTCAAGAACTCACAAAATCAAGACAAGTATTTGTGAAAGAGGGAAGATTAAAAGAAATAACTAAAAAAAAGGTTAGTGATAAAGATATGAGGAGTGAAGGAATAATCAATACGGAGACCGATTACAGAGCGAGAGAAATGTGGGGGAAGCGAGATGGTTCAAGTAACCATTAAAGAGTGCTATGTGTGTGAGAGGATGTGTATGGATATTGGTGAAGGCGTTGATGGCTTGCACGGTGAGAGCAGTGTGTGAAAGTGGGGCACAACGGCGGGGAATCAGGGTGAATGGATGATTGTGAATGGATGCTGGTGAAATCAGCTAGGTAAATACATATATATATGTGGACATTATCCAAAAGGAAAGAAGAAAGTGGACTCAGCCCAGTAACTCATACCTGGACCAAGAGTGAAGTGATGGCTAGGCCCAATTTTAACACTCCCTCTCACTCGAAGGGCTATCATTAGCAACCTGAAACAAATCAAACAACCTGTTAAGAGTACCAAGACGGTAAAGTGACTTACTATCAAGGCTTTTTGTGACTAAATCAGCATGTTGCGCATATGAGGGAGTAAAATATATCAAAATGATGCCTTTGGAAATGTAATCCCTTACCATGTGGCAATCTACCTCAATGTGATTAGTTCTTTCATGGAACACAGGATTAGCAGCAATTTGAATAGCAGCAGTGTTATCACAATACAACTCAACAACATGCCCATGATCAATATGTAAATCATGAAGTATGCTAAGAAGCTAAGTTACTTCATCACAAGTCCAGGCCATGGCTTTATATTCAGCTTGAGCAGATGACCGAGACACAGTCGACTGCTTTTTGCTTTTAAATAAGATTAAAGAGCTCCTAAGAAACACACAGAAACCAGTGACTGGCTTTCTAGAAATTGGGCAAGAAGGGCAGTCCGAGTCATTGTAAGCTTTCAAGGTCAGATTTTCATCTTTAGAAAATAGAAGTCCTTGCCTAGGCAAGAAGGGCAGTCCGAGTCATTGACTCAAGACTTGAACACTAAAGGCTATATCAGGCCTTGTTACAGTTAAGACAACTTACCAACCAATTGTTGGTAACCAACAACACTTGATATTAAATGATCAGCTTCGCTAACAACATTATCAAGCTTTAGGTGTTGTTCCATAGGAACTAACGATGGTTTGCACCCCAATAACCCAAATTCGGAAATTAATTCAAGGGCATATTTTCGCTGAAAGGAAACAGTTCCTTTATAAAATCTAATAGTCTCTATTCCCAGAAAATAGTTCAAAACTCCTAAATCTTTGATTTTAAATTTTCCATTCAAAAAACTTTTAAACTCTGTAATCTTCTCAACATTATTTCGAGTAACAAGGATATCATCAACATAAACTACAACAGTGATAATAATATCAACTTCAGCTTTTACAGACAAAGAATAATCATGGAGAGACTGTTTGAAGCCAAATTCAATCATTGCAGATTTTAGTTTCTCATTCCACTGTCTGAGAGCTTATTTCAAACCATACAAAGACTTTTGTGAAAGACAGTGTTTGTTATGGAACATTTCTGAATACCCCTCAGGCAGTGTCATATAAACTATTTCATTGAGATCACCGTGTAAGAAAGCATTGTTCACATCTAATTGAAAAATTTCCTAACCAGAGCTAACAACAACAGAAAGAACACACCTAACAGTGGACATTTTCACCACATGTGAGAATGTCTCATTAAAATCTAATCTTTCTTTTTGACTAAAATCTTTTGCAACAAGTCTAGCCTTATACCTCCTAACTATTCCATTGGAATTGTACTTTATTTTAAACACCCATTTACACCAAATGGGTTTTCTATCCTTAGGCAAATTACAGAGGATCCAAGTTTTGTTGTCAATGAGGGCTTTTATCTAAAGATCCATAGTTTTTTTCCACTTAGGATCAAGGATAGCTTCTTTAACACTTTGAGGTTCAACTGACTTATCTAAATTAGCCAGTAATCATAGGCCGTCATTAGATAAATCAGCTGGAGGATGACACACTATACTAATGGGATACTTAGTAACAACAATTCCCATAGAAACTTGATAATCATGAAGGTAGGAAGGAAAACAATGTCTCATACTCGATTGGCACCTATTAGGACGTGCCTCAAAATTTAAATTATCTTTTTCTGTTACAGTATCAGGGTCACTACACTGATTTGTGTTGCCAACATCGGTAACACCTGGTTGTTGATTCAAAGAGGAACTTTGAATCTCATCCAAAGGTGTCACAAGATGATTACCTTCACAATTTCCAAAAAAGATCATCATAGACATCTAATGGAGAGGCAAGCATACGAGCAGGAAGAAGAGACTTATCTGCTACAACAACAGACTGGAAAAGAAATGTTGACTCATGGAAGACAACATCACAAGAGACAGAAACACAAAATGTTTCTAAATCAAGGACTTTGTAACCTTTCTTATTTTCAGCATATCCAACAAAAACACAACGTCTGGCTCTAGGATGAAATTTTTCAAAAATATTCAAATTAGTAGCATGGCACAGGCAACCAAACACCTTCATAATGTTCAATTCTAGTTTTCTCCCATAGATTACCTGGAAAAGGTTTTTCTTATCACGAAGAGGTGTTGGAAGTCTATTTATTATATGGACAGTTGTAAGCAATCAAACTCCCCAAAGAGTGACAGGACATGAGCTTTGAAACATAAGAGCTATAGCAACATTTAAGATGTGCCTATGTTTACGTTCAACAACACCATTTTGCTGAGGGCTATAGGTACAGGATATTTGATGCACTGTTTCAGATTTTTTAAAATGTTCAGAGAGAGATGAGTTTACAAATTAAGTTCCATTGTCTGATCTAAAAACCTTGACACTTCTATCAAACTTGATTTTAATTAGAGCAAAAAATTCTTTAAGACACATGAACACTTCAGATTTAGCTTCTATCAAGAAAACCAAAGTGGCACGAGAAAAATCATCAACAAGAGAGAGAAAATATTTGAAACCATCTCTGATCTCCACATGATAGGGTGCCCAGACATCACCATGAACAAGCTCAAATGGAGCTTTTGTTAAGTGAATGCTGGGAAGGAACGTAGTTATGGTTTGCTTTGACAAATGGCAAACATCACAAATTGGCTCAGTAGTACTTGACATACCAAGATCTGCCTTAAGGAGATTTGACACATCATGGGAAGGGTGTCCTAATCGCAGGTGCCATAGGGTAAGATTGTCATATGCTCCAGCATTAGAGCATATGTACAGTTCAGAACTAGATTGAGAACTCTCAAATCTGTATAGACCCCCTACAAGTTTTGCAAACCCTAAAACACTACTATCCAAAACACTTAGAATCACACAAGAATCTTTCAAGAAATTCACTGTGACAATTCCTTTAGAGGTAAGTTTACTAACATACAACAAGTTTAGATTAAACTCGGGAACAACTAAAACATCTTCTAGAATGATCTTATGACATAAATGCATCTTTCCTAGTTCAAAAGTAGTAGCAAACTTCCATGTAGGTAGGGTAACATGAATGGGGCCATTTTCAACATATTTAATATCGCACAATAATGTTCTATCAGCTACCATATGATCTGTAGCTCCAGAGTCAACAATCTAACTATTACACACAGCCACATTGCAAATTTGGGTAGGGGACATACCTGCCATATTGAGTCGAGAGGAACTAGTGCCTTTCTTCTCATGCAAGAGCCTGATCAATTCATCACAAATATCAGGTGTTAGTGAAATCTTAGTGGAGGTCACATCAGATTCACTATTACCATATTCAGTAGTGACATTATTGGCATCCATAGTTGTAGGCTTATTAACCTTAAAATTCTATTTTTTATCTGGATATCCTATCAATTGATAACACCTCTCAACTAGGTGACCTGTCCTACCACATTGTGAACATTTAAGATTTGAATTTTCTGCATTAGACTTAATTGGCCATTTCACAGCAAAAGCATCACTGCTCTTAGAAGAGGCAACATCACTACAGAGTTTCTTGTGAGATTCCTCTTGACATACTACGTTATATGCTTCCTTAATGGAAGAAGGTGGACTCATAGAAAGTATTGTATTGCGAACCACATAAAAATTATCACTTAGACCCATGAGAAACTGAACTAAATGTTTAGTTTTCTCATATCTATCTGAATAAGCTCTGGCACTACAAACACAACGATCTACATTCTTAATAGACTTTGCATGGTCCCACAACTGTTTCAGATTAGTATAGTATGTGTTTACACTATCATTTCCTTGTCTACAGTTAGCTATTTCCTTTAAAACTACATATATACTAGCTCCACTAGTACTTTCATATGTACTATTGATATCCTTCCACATCCCAGAGGTTGTTTCAAAAATACAAGAGTTCTATAAATCGACTTATTAACAGAATTCAACAACCATGACATGATTACAAGATTACACATACTCCATTTTCAGCTAAATCAGAATCTAAAGGCACAGGGACATAGCCTTCAACAAAATTAAGCTTATTCTTACCTTTTAGAGCTACAGTCATAGCTCTATTCCAGATCACAAAATTTTCACAACCAGTAAGAACACATGAGATTAAGGATATGTTTGCAGAATCCGAAGGGTGAAGATACAGTGGATCATAGTAATTAGGAACAACCAAAAAAGGATTATTAGTCATACAAGAGGTCAGACTGTTGTTTTCACCCATCGAGACAATTAAACGACACTAGAGAACTTATTGTTTTTTGTTTCCCTTACCACATAAAGTAAACAAAAGAAGAGGATGATACCTGCAAATACATAAAAAAGCAAAAAAAAAGGAGTTAACCTCGTTCTGATACCATGTTAACAAATCAAAGCAATGGAATAAACCAACAATTATATTGTGGGGGGTGAGGAACTCCTACACTCCAAGTGTCATTTATTGACAAGTATTTTGGTGTACAGAGGGCGGCGAGTATTAACATGACACGCCAAGATCAGAAATGATCCAATGCATAAAACAACACATGAATATACTCTAGGGAAGTCACCTTGTTCTCAAGGGAACACTTACATATCACCTCAAGTGATTATTAAACTAGCTGAAAAACTGTAAATCAAGACAATAGCTCAAAGGCTGTAAATCGGAACAATACAACCTAAACAATGATCATCCAAGGGCATAGATCATCAATGGTTCTTTCCAAATACCTCGTACACCACTTATTTGTTGTGAACCTCAAGAACTCACAAAATCAAGACAAGTATTTGTCAAAGAGGGAAGATCGAAATAACTAAAAAAAAAGGTTAGTGATAAAGAGATGAGGCGGAGTGAAGGAATAACCGATACAGAGACCGATTAGAGAGCTAGAGAAGCATGGGCGAAGCGAGATGGTTCAAGTAACCATTAAAGAGTGCTCTGTGTGTGAGAGGATGTGTATGGATGTTGGTGAAGGCGTCGATGGCGTGCACGGTGAGAGCAGTGTGTGAAAGTAGGGCACAACGGCGGCAAAATCAGAGTGAATGGATGGTCGTGATTGAATACTGTTGAAATCAGCTAGGTAAATACATATATATATATATATGGAGTAACCGCAAGGAAAGAAGAAAGTGGATTCAGCCCAGTAACTCATACTTGGACCAAGAATGAACTTAGGGCTAAGCCCAATTTTAATACCCCACAATTAGAATGAAATTAAATTACATTTCAAAACACACGAACCACTCGAAATACATTAATTAACATTACATTGAACGCAAAAATGAACTCTTCTACTATCCCCTATATATTTTCAAATTAGCTGTCATTAATTGTTTGATATCTAGTATGTAAAAGGAAGGTAATTATGAACTCACCATGTAGACTACCTTGAAGGAAATACCAAAAAAAATCTACAAAGTTGCTGGTAAATAAACATGAATTATTCTTTTTTTTTTTCATTTTTTGTTTACGAAGAAAATTTGCAGTCCTCAATCCGAATCCATGACTTGAAATTGGTACAAAGTTCATCAGCACCAACACAGATCCAGAAAGTGCAACTGCAGTTAGAAGTTGCCGAATGATGTGAATTCTTTCGAAGAGATAACTGTAGCCATGCCTCAATTCTTTTCAAATACATCTCATAATTCCCTGACAATAAAGTGCAACAGTGATCTATATGTATCGAGTTTATGGAGATGGAATAGATGTAATTATTAACACTCACTATAACACTCATCATGAACTCTGCGGCCCGCATGGACCAGACGTGCCTTGGTCTTCTGCAGCAACAACTCTTTTCAAGATTAAGTTCCCAAGTATTGTATCGCTACATATAGGTGCAGTGTACAAACGCATGTCCACACATACGTGTGTGTGTATATATGTGTATGTTAACATTGAAATTTCATGCATCACAAAAATACATTTGTAAATTTTTAATACATACAAAATGCATACACCGGGGAACAAGCACCAACAAAATATAGGTGTAAAGTCACCACTTTAATTGATACTGGTATTTTTCTTTTAGTTTTTTTTTTAATTTTTTGATACAGTGTGGTGAGGTTAGTGGAAAAATTGCCTTGGATTTTTGCTAATGACTTTTACAAAAATGGGGCACGTTTGTAAGAATAAATCACAAGATATTACCGATGACACTTCCATAATTAACCGTAACGAAAGTTGCAATGATCTCGTGACCCTAGATTGTTACAGAAATCATGGCATTGGCATGGTCTTTTGAATAAGAAAACCTGCAATGCGATTGAAACAATATTGTGATTGTTTGTAGGTGCAAAGATTGCAACATTGACATGTTGTAGCATTGCCATGATTCTCTCTTGTATTTCCATTACTATTGTTGTATTTTAATTCAAGTTTGGTGGGCTAACTACTTGGGAATAATGGGTGATGAGACGGTTATGAATAAACAGTGTTGTCACTAAAGCGTTAGTGTTGGTTCTGCCATTGTGTAGGTGCAGTAAATTGTAACAATATTTTCACTTACTTCATCCATCAACGGTGTTAGAAGAATTTTCATCAGTTATATTGAGTAGAGATCTAAATACTAAAGTTAGAAAGAATTACTTTGTCAAAAATTAAGAATAATTAAATAAAAAAATTAATATTTACCTTATCAATTATTCAAGGCCTTTTTTTCAATTAAATAAAAAGTTATCCATTGCCTATTAAAAGAACACAAATAACTAAATAAATAAAAGAATCATGGTACAAATTTGGCTTTTTTCTTTTTTTTTTTTTAATGATTTTTAGTTATTACTTTTTTTTTTCTTTTACATTGGATCAACTCTGTAAAGTAGTTTAAATTTTGTGTTTTTGTATCCATATGTGATTCTTGGTGATTTGATTGCCACATTACAATAAAATTTCACAACCGAAGTTATTGAGAATTAGAAATTAGTGTTCAGATTCATTAGAAAAATATAGGAATGTAGCAATCATTCTTATTGTGTTATTTTAGAAAGGATCGAAACTTTGTTTTCTTACAAAGATAGTTATTAAACTATTAGATTCATACAACACAAGGAAGAACATAAACAATCTAAGCAGAAAATTAAAGATTTACTATATATAAAACAACAACACAACAAAACAAGTTTAGTTCAAATAGGCACGGCCCTAGATTTACTTAAACATGAAAAAACCACCCTACAAACAAGAAATCAACCATATAAAAAGCCTCCAAACACAAAAGGCAACAGCCGCTCCCAATTTTTCTACTACGAAGTTTGAATTTTGTAGAAAAATTGTTATTGTGATACTTTTGATTAGTCCAATTGTTTTAACTTATGTAGTTAAGTACGGACTAATCACATATATTTTTCTTTTATAAATTCTTATTCTATTTTTTTTTTTTGTTTTTTTTGCAGGTAACAAATTTGTTTATTTCGGCAATTATGACACCTAATCACCCAAGTTTTGTGAGCTAAAAAATTAGTTGGAGGATTTGTTGAATTCTTGGGTCAACATAAAATATTGAGACCCAAAATTTTCCAATTCAATACCTAATCCCACACTTGATGCAACAAAATTTATAGCCCACCAAATACTTTGGCCCACTCCTATTTCGAGGATGAATCTAGGCCGATTGATCAAGCGTACTACAATTTGGACCCATGGACCCAACATTAATCCGAAAACCCTAAGTATAAATATACTAAACTTGGTCGACGTAATTCATTTACTCCCCTTTGCTTTCTCTCTTTGGCTGCGCAGTTTTGTTTCAACATCGTCTTGGCTCTCTTCGTTCCTTCTTGGATTCTGGTGATTTGATTTTAGCCTTTTATGGAATTGCATATTATTTTTTAGGGGATATGAGGCAACTAAATAATGTGTTTGTTGTAATTTAGTTGTATCTTGGTGGGTTAATATCTGTAGTTTTCGATTTGGGTTGTTTTCGGTGTCTGATACTATATCATCATCTTGATAGCTTAGTGTGTGATTTTGAAACAACGATTCCCATATTATTGTTTGTTTTGTTTGAATTAGTTAAATCAGTGTTAAAAGCAAATTTTCACTGGAATAGATAAAAAAATTTCCTTCAAAAGTTTCCTTCTAAAACATCAAACATTTGACTTAAATTTGTTACCTATCCAACAATGTTATGTACTCGAATATGGTGGATTCACATCACATTTTAGATTAACAAGGTGCACTTGTTGATGCAGCACTGTTACTTTGGCTCCGAGACATTAAGTTGTCCTCAAGTCATATGCATTTCTACTGTCCTTTTTGGACAGTACACTCTACGCTTCCGACAATATCTGAAATGCACCTTCTGCCCCTACTGACTTGTTCTTGTCAGGGTACAGCGAGAGGGCCATTCTTCGGTAATGTCTCTTCAGTGTATCATCATCAACCGATGAATCAACCCCCATTATGCCGTCGTATATCTTGTGGCTGCTAGCGATGTATATTTGGATGATCTCAATCAACTGCGACAACCCATCCAGTCCTGGAAAGAGGCTGTGAGCCCTTAAAGCCAACCTCTTGGCTCCCTGAAAGTCTCTTTCTAGAAATTTATTTTCAGCCATCTCTTTGGCTCTTATGGTTTCATCTTTGTTGCATTCTATTTTTTACTCTTTCTTTATTCACGTCAAACATTGTACTCATAGTTAACAAGAGCACATATAAGAACAAGGAAAAAAGGATTTGATATATTAAAGCATATATGATCTACTGCATAATCGATTTATAACAATCGATGAATAATCTTGGAGGAAAATTAGCATTCAATGCTTGTTCTGAGATACATCGAGTTACTATTTTATTTTCTTCCCATATACAGCTTCATTTACGAAATTATATTAACATCCATATCCTCAAATTACATGTTTTCAAATATTTTATAATCCCATGGTTTGAATCATCTATTATTGAATGCAAGCTTCCAGATTATACAATGATCTGTGCCTTCTAAGTAATAGTTCAAAACTTAAAACTGTAATTTTCAACATGTTCAAAGATTTTTGAGATGTAATTGCAGCCTTGAAATCCAATCTCCCAAACAACTTATTGAGAGGCACAAAATTTGTACCTTCTTGCCCAAAAAAATTAAAAACCTAAAAATCATTTGTCATTCAAATTAAATTTGTTGTCAATCGGATGCAAGCGAATAACATAAACGGAAAAGAAGAGAAAAAGATGGGGAAACCTGAAGAAGAATATTAAAAAATTGACAAAACCCCATGAAAGGAACATTGTTGTTAACCAAAAAAGACCCTAATTTCTGAAAATATTCAAAACGCTAGCTACAAAATCAAACGATCTCTCACAAACTGTGACAATTCACTACCAAGATTATTGAGTGCGATCACGTTATTACCACAAAAGAACATATTGATTCAGAAAACCTTTCAAACATCAAAAATTACCTTCTTTTAAAGCAATGTGTTAACTACACGGCGCTACTAAAAGAATTGCTGCTCTGCGAATTTAGAACTTGAAGATTTTTTAATACCCAAAAACTGTCTTCGGAAAACAGAGAAGTGTTTTCCGGAACTCCTGGTAACTATTTCTTTTATATTTAAAAAATATATATATTATGCAGAAACTTAGTTACTTGCAAACTCTGTCCACCATTTCTGTGGCAATGTTTTAAATCCGTGATCAGGGTTAAACTTTTAACCATAGTTAGTAGTATTCCAAAGTAGCTTAGAAGTAGAATTGGAAAATGCCAACACATTTTAGTCCCTAAAATCTTGCTTATCTGGTTTTCATTATCTTTTAAATTTCTCAGTAGTTAGAATTCCACAGTTATAATCAATCTGGTATATTCAATTAAGATTTTGTAAAATTTTATACTTTTAAAATCTGTGTTTTAAAATGAGGAGGTATTGAATTCAATTTTAAATTTTTTTTTAATATCTGTATTCAACAATCATGAATTTTAAGAGTAAGTGGATTTTAATGTAAAATTATGAAAAAAATGTACAGTATAAAATCTATCTTGATAAGCAGAGATTTTGATGAATTTTTAAAATATATAATAATAATAATAATAATAATAATAATAATAATAATAATGATG